CCCTTCTGCTTCCCACTTTGTCCTCCATTCTTTGTCCACCTTATAAAGATACACTCTGCATGTCACAGAGATGTTCTCTCTCTTCTGGGATTTTACTTAATTTTATTATCATATATTTTTGAAGCAAAACTCTTTTTAAAAACTTCTTTTGAATCTTGTATGGTATGAATTTCATTATTTTTATTCACTTGGGTATGGAATGCATGTGTATGCACACACACATATCTATATACAAATGAATTTCTGGTATATGTTTTTATTCATTTTTGGGGTATTTGTATATATGTGCTTGGAAGTTTAAAATATATTTGCATATATTCTTTAGTTTTAAATTACTGTGGATATTTTATATTCTGTATTTACAAATGCGAGAGTATGTCCTCCTGTTTTGTTATACAGAAAACAGAAAATTGTATAATCCATAAGTGTACCAATTGGGCTTTATATCCTATTTTAATGGACCCTGGGGGGCAATACTGGGAGTAGCCTAAATTAGTTATTATTTTTTTTAATCTTCTTAGTAGGAAACCCATTGCTGTGTTTGGATGCTTGCAGTCTTATTCTACTGACACCATTTTTATTCATATGGTGGTGGAAGTATAGTTAGTGTCATTTAAGTTCTTCCTGGAATATGATTACCTTTTTGATATGCATAAACAACACTATATTCTATTCTGAAATGTTTCTGAAATATGTCTGAAATGTTTATGAAATATTCCATTTAAAATGTTTATATTATATTTCATATCTTGTTAAATACTCAATTTGGACAACCCTACATTTTCTGACTTAAAATTCATTATAGCTCTATTCATTTTCTTTTTCCAGTATATAGATTATTAATTTTGTCCTCCACAAGACACTATATAATTTCATGTTTATCTAATGTGAGTTTTATTATAAGGTGTCGGACTCTCTTTGTCCCTGCCACGGGGGCAGGGTCTCAAGTTGGGAGTGGTGTCGGTGAGTGGAGATTCCTAGAAAGAAGAAAAAAGGGAGCTGTACGAGGAAGAGATGGGAATATCAGAATGCAAGTCTTCCTGCTCTGCCTTCAGCAGAGGTTTATTTTATACATTTCAAGCAAGTAATAGGGTGACATTAGCATATGAATTGGGCTGAGATCAGGATCACCTTTTTTTTAAGAATAGTCTGGGGTCATATTGACCTTTTGTTGAGATTATAACATTTTTAAAATCAATCTATCAAGGTTAAAACAGGTACATAGGTTTACAAAATTTAAGACTAATATTACTGTATTTACCACAGTGAAGAATAACCAAAATAAAGTCCCTTAAACCTTATCTACTATTTAATGGCTTTTATTTTTATTGAGATATCCTAGGGGGTAAAGTGAGGGCAGGAAGAGGAAATTTTTTTTTGTAAATCAAATCTCAAAAGGAAATACAGTAAAGTTCTTTGAAAACTAGTTAGAACATTTAAGTGAATTTCTCTGATGTCTAGTTGAAAACTTAGTTAGCTCTGAATAAGAGATTTGGGTGAATTTTCTTATCTAAAGACTAGATAGTAGAATCCTGAAAAACTAGTTAGAAAGCTTAAGTGAATTTTGTTGAAGTCTAGACAGTAGAAAACCTGATTAGCTCTGAATAGGAGACTTGGGTTAATTTTCTTATTTAAAGACTAGATAGTGGAAAGTTTCAGTAGTTCTTTAGAACCTGAATAGAAGGCTATATAGGATAGTAGAGTGATGAGATTTGGATTTTCGTTATCTGGGCAGTAAAAATTATGTTCCAGTATTGCCTCAATATTGACTTTATTATAACAGCCAATTGCTTTTATTAATCAGCCAATTATAAAATCACTTTTGACTTCAAGAGGAATTTCTTGCCCCGGTGCAGTGCTTGCTTTTTTGGGCCAGGCAGCACCTAATGAGGCTAAGGCAATCCAGTTGCAAACTGAAGGTTGTTCAGAATATTTTGATATTATGATTATACAAAAAAGGGAGGTCATAACATAAGTTAGCGTGGAAATTCTGATTTTTCAGAGCATTTCCCCTCCATCCGTACCATGTCTGTCAACAGAAGTTGCATAGCTTGTGTCAATAAGGAAAGCAAGAATAATGGATTATTCATTAAGTTAGTAACTTAGTTTCAATACAGTAATTAACATTTTTAGAAAAGGGATGTGATAATATGTTAAAGACCGTGTTCACTGGTGGGCAACATGAACATGCTTACTTAAACTAAAAATTAAATTCCATTTAATTTTTGTAATAACTCTGAAATTATTTGTTCCTGTGATGATGGAAAAAATAAGGATTAGAAAAATTAAACAACTTACCCAAGGGGACATATCTAGTAAGTTCCAAAGCCAGAGTTTGAACCTAAATCTTTGATCTAAAGATCATATTTGTCATCACTTACACATTTTAGCTTCAGTCTCTGACTTCAGATATTCAGAAATAACAAAATAACAAAACCATTGATTTAAATCCAACCAGTTTTCTACAGTTGCACATATTGTAGACCCTGTTTATTCTGTCAGTATCATTTTAGGGTTCATAGTCCCCACTCCCTGCTTGTCACTATTTAGGCTACTAAAGCACCACATTTCAAGAACTTTTGCATATGTGGCTTCCTCTATCTGTGGTGTTTTTTCCCTCCTCCCCCTTTCTATATATACATGTCTTCTCTTTCATGTTCTAGCTCATATAACACTTTCTCAGAATTGCCTTCTGACCACTTTATATGAAGAAGGAATTCAATACTTGTCAGAGACCCTTTGTCCCCGATCACAGATTATTGGGGGTCAGAACAGGCAGGGTCTCAAGGTGGGAGCAGAGTGGCCAGTGGAGATTCCTAAAAAAGAGGGAAAAGGAGAAAAAGGGGAAAGGGGAGTGAGGAAGATATGGGGGATCAGAGTTGGGAGCAAGTCTTCCTGTTCTGCTCTTAGCAGAAGTTTATTTTATACATTAAGAGCAAGCAGTGGGGTGACATCAGCACATGAACTGGGCTGAGAGATTACAATCATCTTTTTTTCTAAGAACAGTTTAGGGTCATATTGCTCTTTAGCTGAGATATAACAATCTATTAAAGTTAAGATAGGTATATAAATTCATAAAATTTAAGGCTAACATTGTTATATTTACCACAGTATTGATTGGCTAAAATAAAGTCCCTTTAAACCTTAAATGCTACTTAATGCTCTTCATTCTCATTGAGACATCTTAGAAGGTAAAGTAAAGGTGAGGACTAGGGTGGAGGCTGGGCTGGAGATGTGAAAGGGGATTAGGTGGGGTAACGGGCCAAGGAAAAGTTGTGAAAGAGGGTAAAGTCAAAGACTAGGCTGGAGGAGTTTTCTGGTAGATAAATAACTAAGGGAGATAGTAAGATTCCTCTTTTAAAGACTGAGCAATAAAAGCTTAAGTAAGAGAGTAGAGTGATAATATTTGGGTTCTGGTCCAGGCAGTGAAAGAACTTTAATTATTTTTTAGCATGTTCTAGTACTGCCTTGTCTTACAATATTGATTTTGTTATAATTGTTTTTATTAATCAGCCAGTTATAATATTATTTTTTGCTTTCTAGAGGAATTTTCTGCCTTGGGCAGTGCTTGCTCACCTGAGCCAGGTAGCGCCTTATGAGGCTAAGGCAATCCTGTTGTAAGCTGATGGTTGCTTAGAATATTTTGATATTACAAAAAAGGAAGGTCATAACGTAAGTCAGCGTGGAAATTCTGATTTTTCAGAGCATATTCTCTATCCGGAATATGTCATTCGATAGAGGTTGCATAGCTTGTGTCAAATACTTAAAAGTCTCTTATCACCTGTTAATTCCCTTCATAGTGTGTGCTCAATCTGCATTTTTTGATTTATCTCTCTTTAAAAGATTGTAAACTCTTTGAGGACAGGAACTTTGTTCCTCTCGGTTATTACTGTATCTACCCAACATAGAAAAGCATTTTTTGTAAAATGGATGCTTAAAAAACAATGGAAAGAAGAATGTGTGTATGTGTGTGTGTGTGTGTGAACAGTATATCTAAATTTTCCCATGGGACATATTTGAAACAATATTTTGGATAATTTTGGGTGTTTAAATCATGTTTAAAAATTGATCAGGACACTTGTGAATAATGACCACAAACTACAACAACCTACAGTAGATTTCTGCTTTGATTTTTACATGATTAGGTTTTGTTTGTAGGAATATCCATGAGATTAGCTAAATATAAAATTCTCTAGCAAATTATAGAATTCTAATTGTTTTAGCTATATGAAGATTTTGTATTCTCTCTTGTCTAACTGAAATGTTCTGGAAAAGTATATAAAAACATGTCTTGAAGCCTACATGGATTGATCTAGGTCAAAAAAAAAAAACAGAACAAAGCCTTTCTCTCTATATAAGGTCGATTCTTGCACTTTTCCAAACATATAATGAATAATGCTTATGGCAGTAATATTTCATATTTGAACAAAATAAACTTGTACTTCAAAGATTTAATATTAGTTAAAATTAAAATAATCTTATACCCATAAGAAATGAAACAGTAACTTTTATAGATGCCTTCATGGTGAAATCATGCACTTTATTCTAGTAAAACAGAGGAAATGTAGACACAGAAATCTCAGAACAGATCCTCAAATTAAAATGAAAATCTTCCATTTCAGGGTAAACATGATGTAAATTTGTACACATTTAATTTTGTTCCAGTTAGCTAATTGAAAATTTTGTAATGTTCTGGAAAAGTATATAAATACTTTATATTCATAAATGACCATTTTTTAGCTAAGAACTTGGTATCTTCTGTGAGGTCTTTATTATGATTCTCTAGAACTTAAGTTATCTTTAATGATTTCTTTAGAGAATGATCATAGGATGTAGGTAAAATATTACTTATCCCTAAGTGATTGTGCATGTAATTCATAGTCATGGCATCTTAGAGCTTGGGCAACTAAAGGATTATCTTGTCAAAAATATTCCTTGTAGAAATTGTCTTACAGTTTTAGTGACTGTCTTAATGAGGTTTTATGTTTCTTCACTTGCAGGACTACATGGACTCCAACAAATACATTGAGCACCTGTTAACTCAACTTCAGGAGCAACATAGAAGTCTCTGTAGGTTAGTAAAGTTGATGGACTTAACTGATAAAGTCTCCAGAGCTTTGATTTTAATCACAAAGGCAGGGCTTGGAAAATGGTCTGTTCTTTACTTGGTATCCATAAGAGTAAGAATCACCAGCAGTTAACTAGGGAACTGTATTCCTTTAATTAAAATAAAGCAATTGTGTCAAAATTTGTCCTTGACTCACAGATCTCTGAGCACTGAAAGAATGGCAAAAGTTGTTAGACTTGTTAAGTAAAAGAAATTAAGGTGTCTAGGGTTATATAGTATACTTATGTTTTGGAAACAAGAACTGAAATTCTAACCCTTAAGTGTTTAGATTATTTTTCTGTAAGTAAAAGCTAGAACAATTTTGCTTAGAATTTCTACTTCTCTTCATATTAAAGGGGAAGTATTTTACAAATGTTGTTGTAAAGGTCTCTGTTATTTAGTTCCTGTTCTGTATGGTAGGTTCTGACCCTAAATAAGAAAAGGTAGTTAGAATGTTTGTGAAGGTGAATTGGAGAAAAGTAATTATCATACAAATTATATTTACAGATGTTCATTCTCTGGGGCTTCTTGGCAATTGAGACTGGTGAAATATTATTGATAGTAGTATTTAAATCTTTAAGATTCTTGGGGTCATGTTTTTGTTTTTTTTCTTAAAGATTTATTTATCTATGCATACAGAACTGGGGTACAGGCCAGAGATGTGGAGGGTGAGAGGCTTCACCAGAGACAGAGTGGGGAGCAGA